GAGAGAGAGAGAGAGAGAGAGAGAGAAACTGGAGAGAGAGAAACTGGTTCTGTGGCCAAACCCCTTAGTTTCTGGATCTTTCTTCACTTTGCTCCTGGCTGTGAGAGGAACCAGAATCCTCCTCCCCTCCCTTTCCTTGGGAGGGAAAAGGGACATTTTGTCCACACAAAGGAGCCAGCAACCCTTTTCTGCATAGACAAGGCTATTTATTCAAAGTTTCCCATAAGACCAGCAATTTCTTATTCCTAATTCTTCTCAGTGAGCCATACCCCAAATGCCCAGTCCAACTCTTGACAACTCCCTGCTGCTCCCCACCTCCCCCAGTCACTGCCACCAACTCTCAGAAGTCTAAACTTTTGCGATTTACATGTGAAAACAGCACTTCATAACCTCGTGATTTGAGACAAGGAGATGCTTCTGTCCTTTTGGGGAAAAACAAAACCCAAGTGAAATCATAAAACTCAGAAGAAAACACCATCTCCCTCCAAATGCATTCCCTGGGCTCTGAAGTCACACGTGCTCTGTAGCAGATACAGCTTTCAATGTGTCTTTTGTTTGATGCTGGTGTTTCAACATCCTCAACTTGAAGAGGGAAAGGTCAGCATGAGGCTTCAGGGTATTCACAAACCCACCCGGCCTCTGCACCAGGGCCAGGAGCTGCCAAGTGAGGGGCCAGAAATCCCTCCCCAACCTGGACCTCCTCAAAAAGCAGCTGGGACAGTGAAAGACAGGGGCTTGCTCTCTCCTCTAAACTTCCCTGATGGCTCACAAACAGCGTTCACACTCCTGGGACCGAAACAACGGCCAGTGAAGACAAGCTGGAATTCACCAGCAGCCAGGCTGCTGGGTTCTTCAGTCCCAGCGCCTGCTTCTTTATTTGTACCTTCAAAAAACAATAATAAGCAAACCCAGGCACCTCTGGGAACAGCCTCTGGCCTCCTGCCCTGCCCTGTGTAACCAGCCTGTCTTGACACCCACGAGGGAGGAGGACAGGGCACTGGTTAACCCTCTGGTCTACCAGGCCCAGATCCCAGGTTGCAGCAGAGAGACAAACTGTTGCTCAAGAAAATCCTTTAGAAAACCCTTGGCACCAAGAGGCAGCTCCAAGCGGCTCTGCTCCAGGCACCAAGCCAGGGGCTTCCATAGGCAGCTGCCCACTGCCCTTTTAAATCCTTGGGGTTGGGCCCTACTCTCCCATGCCCTGGGCTGTCCACCCAGGGGGCTCCAAATGTCCATGGCAGAGAAGGGGGAAGGGACAGGCTGGCCGAGCTGTGCCCTCACCCCGCCAGCCCAGCCTCCAGCTTCTTGGAGGACCTCTGAGAGAACATTTGTTTGGGCTGCCAAGTTAAATCTTCCTCCCTCATGTCAGGGCATTGGAAAAGCAGTCAGGGGAGAGGAGAAGGGGGAGAATAAGCGGGGGAAGGAGCAGCGGGAGGGAGGAAAGGAAGGAGGGAGGGAGGAAAGCGGGCAGGCTCGGAGCCCCAGTTACTCGGGCACTGCCTGCCCAGGAAGCTGGCGGCTCCCGGGCAGGCACAGCCGGGGCTCCGGGCACCAAACCTGAGATCGGGCGGCCAGGCCTCCAGGGTCAGGTGCGGGTGCCAGACGCTGCTGGCTCCCGCCTGGAGAGGCCGTGTCGCTCTGTGCCCTGCTGGAGGGGCGAGGTGCGAAAGGAAGGCAGAGGAGGAAAAAGTTTGCGCCAGGTAGAAGGGTAGGGCAGGGCGGCTCAGCGGACAGGCTGTCCCCCGAGGCGGGGTGGGGGCCCGGGCCGGCTGCCCTGGCGCGCTCCGGTCCACCCGCCCTCCCGCCCGGGTTGTTTACATTCCTGGAGTGTCTTTTAAACCCGGGGCTGAGGCCGGCTCCCGGCCTTCTCCGGCGGCTCCGGGGCAGTCTCCCGTGAAAATCTGCTGGCGCACAATGGCCGGGAAGGCTGCCGCCCCTCGCCCGCGCCCCCACCGCTCCGGGGCGGGGAGCCTGCCCTCCGCACCGCGCCCTCTCCCCGCCCGGCCGGCTTCCTGGACAGATGTCCCCGGCGAGGGGGCGACGCGCGCCCGCTACCCGCGCCCCAGACGCCGAGGCCGCGCTCCCCACTGTTTTCTCTCCAGTCCAGACGCAAGGAATGTGAAACAAGCTCGCCAACCTCCCACCCCCCAGCGACCCCAGATCCAGCCCGGGTCCGGGCTGGCCCCCCAACCTCTGCCCCGGCCGGCCTCCCACTCCCCCGGGGCCACTGCCGCCGGAGACCAGAAGAAAAAAGAACACGGAAAAATTACTTTCGTATTTGCAACGCGCGCGCGCACACACACTCGTACATCTTCCCTGTAGGCGCTCCTCCAGGCCAGGGCAGTCAGTCCAGGCGTTAACCTGAGCGCCCCGTAAGCTTCGAAGCACTGCAAGAAGCCCTACCCACAAACACACACACCTCGGCTTTCCTCGCGCCTACGGCGCGCCACCTTTACCCAGGCAATTCCCACACAAACAACTTAACCGCGCCCCCACCTTTCGTTTACAAAAGTGTCTGTTTTCCCTGGAAATTTAGATGAACAACTTAACACTACCACCCTTCACCACCCTGAAATCCAGCGCCTTCCCCAGCGGTTTTCGTACATACACAAGCGCACAACTTCGCATCTCCCCAAAGAAGGCGAAGGAGACCGAAGCGGTCCTTTCCCAGTCCTTCTCTCCTTCCTCCGAATCCCGGTCCTGTGTGGCCCGCGGGTGTACAGAGCGAGGGCTGGAGGCGCGCCGGCAGGAGGCGGGCACCGGGTCCGCGCGCGCACGACCGCACTTACGCCCAGCACAGCCGACGAACCCCGGCCCCCGCGCACAGCCCAAGTCGGTTCCGTGAAGCTCGAATCTTGCCGGCCGCCTGGGCCTCCGCCCCCAGCAGCCAAGAGGAGACGAGCGGAGCCCGTGACTCCGGCCGCTCGCCCGGCTCTGGCAGATCCTTTAAGGGAAAAGTCCCCAAACCCAGCACCCCACGCTTTCTCCCCAAGAGTCAGCGGGAAGCAGAAGGAAGCCCTGGAGCCAGAGAGCGCCTGGCTCTGGCCCCAAACTTACCGAGCGCTGCGAGCGCCGCTACCGCCGCTGGAGGACGCGCCGCCGCCGCCGCCACCGCGGGGTAGGGCTGGCTCCGGCCGGGAGGAGCGCAGCTAGGGCGCCGAGATCTGCTCGGTTCTGTCTCCTCTCCGCGCCGGCTGAGGCTGGGGTCACAGCGCTGCGCTGGCTTTGCTCGCTCGCTCTGCCGCCCGATCGCTGCTCGCCCGCCAGCCGCCCGGCCGCTTGCTCTCCCAGGCGCCCGCCGCCGCCGCTCGCTTTTTTAATGTCCACAGACAGTGAAAAGGAACTCGGCGTTAGGGGGTGAGTAAGTGAATCAACTCGCCCGGAGCCGAGCAAGTTGAAGTGTCAGATTACATTGGCTATTCTATTTCCAAAGGGCCCCGCGCCGCCGGCCGCCCGCAAAAGCCGGCGCGGAGTTAGGGCCGGAGTGGAGCGCAGCGCCGCCGCCGTCAGCTCTCTGCAGGACTCAGCGTGGCTCGCGCGCTCTCTGCGCTCTTGCCTCGCTCTTTTCCTTTCCTTTTCGCCTCCCCTAGTTCTTTCCTTTGCCTTTCCTTTCCCTTCTTTTCCTCTTTCTACCTCGCTCCTCTGTCTTGGCGCTCTCCTAGCTTTTCCCCTCTTAGCTCTGACCTGCTCCTCGTCACTCCCTCCCCGCTATGCTGTCAGTTCACTCAACTCTCTTTTCTCCCTACTCCTTTCGCTACTCCCTAACGCCCCCCTCAGTACTCCCCCAGTAAGTTTGGAGAAGGAGAGAAATACTGAGCTGAAGAAGGGACCCCACTGGGAAGGAGGCCAAAATCACCAGGTTCACCCGAGTGCCCCCACCCCGCGCGCTCTCACGCCCCCACCTGGAGGACGCTTGGGGCATCGGGTGCTGTCTGGTACCCTAATTGTGAGAGAGCGAGTTGCTTACAAGATCTCCAAAACCTTCGCCTGAGAAGGAGACTTTGGGGTTGTTCCTAAAGCCCAGGGACTTGGAGGTAGGGAGAGAATAGAGCCCCACCACTACCACCACCAAGGACGTTAGGAGGGGTTAGAGCGCGGTCCCCTGCACTCTGTGCCCAGGGACTTGGAGGTAGGGAGAGAATAGAGCCCCACCACTACCACCTACCACGTTAGGAGGGGTTAGAGCGCGGTCCCCTGCACTCTGTGGAGGCTGTAGATAGGGGGAGGGGGAAGTGCGATGTGCACAGTTAGTCCCGGGCAATCTGTACAGTCCAGTGACGCGTGGATTCTCTGACGTTCCACTGGGAGAGCCCGGAAGCCCTGCACGCTTGCCCGACGGGGGCCTGGAGCGTGGAGCCCAGCCCACTCTCCAAGGGCGGTGCGGAATGCTAGCCCTCACTAGGCTCAGTTGGGTGCGCCTACTCACGGGGTTCCCCCCGCAGACCCACCCCCGAGAGCGTCCAAGTGCGCGCCCACTTTGGCTCACGTCCACTGCCACTTTTATGGAAACTCCTACACAAACGTCACACACATTTGCTTCCACCCTCAGCATTGCAATACACGCTCATCACCCCCCCCCACACGCTCTCATACTTCCCCTCACAAACATCCGCGCTTACACGGTCACAGCAAGCATACTCACACATAATTGCACACGCACACATCAGTGTACATGACCCCACGTACACTGAAACAAAACATGAAACGTTCCCCTGAGCACTAAAGCCTTACGTTCACATACAAACACATCCTCCTCTCCACTTCCTCTTCCACACTCCTTTCTTAAGATCCCCCGACCCCTGATTTTCGGCACCCCAGTCCCAACCATCATCCGCACCCTCTCAAGCCCTGTTGGACGCGCGCGCGTGCGGACACACTCCCCTCCTCGGGCAGGAGGGGGAGGCTTCGGCCCGGAGCCCTCTTAGGATTCCATGTGTAGCTGTGGTTCCGCGCTCCACTTTTTGCAGGTGGCCGCGGTGTCGGAGGAGAAGCGAGGAAGGGAGCTGGAATAACAAAGGCAAGTTGGGGAGAGCACAAGGGGGCGCAGCCCCGATTGGGCCGCGGGGGGAGCCCTGCACAGTCTGGGCTTTGGAGGCTGCGGGGTCTCGGGCGCGGGGAGCCGGAGGTGGGGAGGAAGAGTGGGGGGCGTGGGGCGGGGCCGTGGAGTGACGTCAGAGAACAATGACACCGCCGGGGGCGGGCACCGGGAGGCGGCCGGGGCGGGGGTCTCCCTCGAGGCCCGGCGCGGGCGGTAGATCCCCTGGCTTGGACGGAGCCGCTGCCAGATTGACGAGGCCCGCATGGGAGCGCGGACGTGCCACGCAGACTTGCGAGCCTGGGCCTTGTGGGCTGTGATCTGCGCAGACCTCGGACCAACCCGGGGAACAGGCCGAAGTACTGTTCGCGATCACTGAACCCCGTTTTAGAACATCCTTCAGAGGTCTGCTCTGACCTCGACTTGAACTCCTTCAGAGCTGGAGTGATCACTCCTTCCATCACCAAGGGAGAGGAGGAAAAAATACATTTGCCAGTTTTGAATTCATTCTCAAGGCTCTGCTAATCTTAACAGCCGGTAAACTCAGCCTGGAATTCCTGAGCACTCAGAAAACTGCAGCTCAGGTCCACACGGCGTGTGGGGTGGAGGCAAGGCAGGGACGAAAGCTTATTTGATTTTCCAGGGAAAGTCTTCCTTCCTGTGCCATTGGGCACAAGAGAAGGTGTTCCTTTTGACCCTCAGTCTTCCTATCTGTTCACATGGACATGTATGGTTACCATTTTAGCTACCCAAACTACAGGTGGCAGCTGAGTATCTTTGGGGAGGGTAGGTGGCATAAAATCACTTCCAGACCTCTAGGGACACTGAGGAGTCAGGGTCCTAGGACATTGCTTTGGGTGGGAGCCCCTCCTCAGCCTGTGGGTGGCCCAAGTTTGCTGATAGGTACAAGTCAGGTACCTACCTGACTGTCTGACCTGGCTTTGGAAGGTCAGTTTACTGAGTGGGAGCTTTAATGGTGGTTGGAGCCACAGCTGTCCTACAACAATCCACAGTATTGTGACAGCCAGAAAGCCACCTCCACCAGAAGGTCCAAAATCCCAGGACAAATTTGAGTGTTTTAAGGACTTGGTGTACAAGAATCCAGCCCCAGCCAACAATTAGCATAGTTCTTGTTGGCTTAGTGACTACCTAGTTCAGGCTGCTCAGCCCTCTCAACATTTCTGTCTAGATCACTTAGTAACCAGGCTGGCCACCTCCAGGAAGTAGGGGATGCAGGTGACCTCAGGGATGACCACTAATGTTCAAAGTCTCCTGTCAAAAAGCCCCCACTCTCCACCCTTCATCCTTCTCCCCACTTCCTCCCACCACTATTTACATGTGGAAACCAGTAAGTGGCTACAGAGGACAGAAGAGCCCAGCAGGCCCCAGCAGGCCCAACTCCTGGTAGCAAAGAGCCAGGGATAATTTCAGTCCTTTCCTATACATGGATAGTAGCAAATCTGAAAAGGCCTCCTGGGGTCCCTAGACTCCAGTCCTTGAGACTCTGAGGCTTTTGCTATCTCTATTCATCTTCCAAGGAGATAACTGGGCAGATTGGATACCTCTGGGGTCTTGGAAGAAGCTATGAGTTATTCAGTGCCTACTGTGTGCTGACTACTATGGTGAAGGCTTCCTGGACATCAGGAATTCAATGAGCTTATTTAATTCTCACCTTGCCTTGAGTTAGGTGCTATTACCATCCCCACTTCAGAAGAGACTGGGCTGTGAATGACTTGCCAAGGCCAGGCAGGAAGAGAACTCAGGTCCTCAGTAACAAAGTTTCCTGTTTTCCCCCCAGCCCCAGCTCTTCATCTTCATCCATAGACTGCCTGTGTGGCCCTAAGACTCCCTGTCTGGGCCTCTCTAAACTAAGGGCCAGGTCTCATGGTAGAGATCAGACCTCAACGGGGATAATGTGCCCATGCCCTACCTCTCAGCCTCAGCCCCTCAGAGTCTGGGGAACTGGGAGTGAGGCAGACAGGAAAGTCACTTCCCTTCCTAGTCACTGAGAAGTGGAAGATACATCCTGCTTAGCCAGTGCAGATCCATATATCACCCGGCTCAAGAGACAGCTTTGGTGTTCCTGAGGAGGGCATAGGAGGTGTGGGGCTGACCTGAGGCTGCTTCTTTAGCACAGACTTGAGTGTATTAATTTTCCTGCCCCATAGGAGCCATCTACAGATTAGGGGTGAGGGCCATTGCTTAGGCCTGTCCCAGGTTTCAGGAAGCAGGATGGCAGGAGGCCAAGAAGGCGCTGGTGGGAGGCTTGAGGTCCCTAAGGAATGCAAAGGGCTTATGGAAGATGCAATGAGTATTGCCTCCTAACCAGGAGGTACTTAGTGGCCTAGGGCTGGGCAGGTTCATTTTGGAAGAGGGAATTCCAGCTCTCTGGAGCTGCCTTCTCTGTATCCACTTCCATCCCTCATTTCCCCTAAGGAAGTCAGGGGAACATCTAAAATTGGGACTAGAGAGAAGGGAGAAAAGTCACATTTATTGAATGCTTACTGTATGCCAAGCACTTTGGAAACATTGTCTGGTTCCATCCTCTCCATAAACCAGGCATCGATCTGTGCAAAGAGGCTCAGAGAGTGTAACCTGCTCAGGACCTCATAGCTGCTGAGCAAGTGGAGCCAAGATTGGGCTCCAGGGCTGGGCTGGGGCCTTGAACTTGAGAATGGGCACTTGCCTCCATCTCCCTGCCAGACCATGGTACAGATAGAGTGACCTACCAGGTACTTTGGGCTGGAATAAGACTCACTCACCTGCCATGGACTGATTAGGGCTCTTCTTGTGGCAGTGGGGTAATGGGGATACATCTTGTTTTCACCCCTTGATGGATCCGAGAAGCATTTGGGCCCTGCTCAGCTCTGAGCCCTGTAGGGTGGTAGGGTCTGGCATTGAGGGCTGTCTCCTTCAGCACACTGGGCTCTCCTGCTCTGCCTCCTTCTAGTATTCCAGTTGGGTTGTCCCCTCATTCCCTGAGCCCACACCCTCCCAGCCTCCAGGCTTGGCTTTGCACAGCTCCCCTACCGGGCAAGCTACCTTTTCACCTCTCATCATGCAGCCCTTTGGTTGCAGAGACAGCTCAAGCACTATCTCTTCCTCCTCATGGGGGGCCTCTGAGAACAGACTAGGAGCCTCCCCCAGGGACTGGGACACCCATGTGCCTAGCCCACCATTGCCTGACTCACTTTGTGGCTTGAGTGTATCACAGACTCTCTCTGTGCCTCTGTTTCCCCATCTGCCAAGAGAGAGAGTGTGGGAAGCACAGGGGCTGTCACCCTTAGACTGACCTACAGTCCA